AGCCTCCCACCACCATGCCTTTGTAGGCCTGTATTTCCCCAGCCTCTCCTGCAGTTGGCTAAGGTCTCATCTCTGTAGCGGACACTTTGACGTATCCCTCAGAGAGGTCCTGCTTCTCTGATAGAACTCAAACCGGTAGAGACAATTAGCCACCAACATAACAACCATTTATCCCTTTGCTCCTTTCCAACTGAACCACGAATATGTCTGTCCTCCTCTAACTGACCTTGGCTGCAAGGAAGTGGGAGCATGAGCTGAATTATGATTGGGCTAGGCCACATATGGTAATTTCATCGCCATGTTTAAGGGCTAAGAATTGCTATTCTAAGGGATTTATCATGATTAAGCAACTCCAGGCTACTCCCAACCAGATAACCATGCTTAGTATGTATTGCTAATGGGGAAGAAACAGGCACAAGAAGAATTCAGAGTGCTGTGGTTTGAATGTTTGTATTCCCCTAAGATTCTTATGTTGAAACCTAACCCCCAAGGTGACAGTATTAAGAGGTGGAGCCTTTGGGCAGAGCCCTCATAAATTGGATTAGTGCCCTTATAAAAAAAAGACCTGAGGGAGTTTGTTTGCCCCTTCCACCACGTGAGGGCACAGCGAGAAGGCAACATCTATGAGAAACAGACCCTCGCCAGACACTGAATCTGCTGGCACCCTGATCTTGGACTTCCCAGCCTCCAGAACTATGAGAAATAAATATTTGTCATTTATAAGCCACCCAGTTTATATTTGTTATTAAGTATGAAATGTCCGATTTCCTTAAGTACTAAGTTTGACAGTTGATATCTCTGACATTTCACTTTGACACTTCTTGTTTTATTTTTATTGTGAAAGTACATCCTCAGTCTTGCTAATGCACATTTTGGCTTGTGACTATCTTTCAAATTTTTTTAAAGCAATTTTTGTGAAACCCTACATAAGTCAAAAATTCGTGTTATTTTCAAATATGAGTTCCGTTGTAGAACCAATGCAGTGCAGAGAGCTCAACATATCAACGAAGGGTTTGGGAAGGATGTGGCTAATGAATGCACAGTATGTCAATGGTTTGAGAAGTTCCAGTCTGGTGATGGTGATCTTGAAATGAGCCACATGGGCGACCTGAGACCAAAGAGGATAATGATGAGCTGAAAGCTGTAGCGGAAGTGAATCCATGTCAACTTACGCATGAATTAGCAGCAAGGTTTGACATTACTATTCCAACAATATTGGGCCATTTGAAACAAATCGGCAAGGTAAAGAAGCTGGATAGATGGGTTCTGCATGAATTAAACGAGTGTCAGAAGAGAAATCATCTAGAAGCTTGCCTTTCTTTGCTGTTATGACATAAAGGCGAGCCATTTCTACACCATATTGGTATGCATGATGAAAAATGGATTCTTTTTCACAATCTCAAGCATTAAGCACAATGGTTGGATAAAGATGAAGTGCCAAAACACAGTCCAAAACTGAATATTCATTTTAAAAAGCTAATGGTGTCTGCTTGGTGGTCCAGCACTGGCATTATCCACTACAGCTTCATGAAATCTGGTCAATCCATTACAGCAGATGTCTACTGCAGCCAATCGGATAAGATGATGAGGATGCTTGTGATTAAGCAGCCAAGATTGGTCAATAGAAATAGGCCAATGCTCTTGCAAGACAATGCTCGACCACATGTTGCATAAACGCTGCTCCAACTACAGAGGCTGAACTTGGAAACTCTCTGTCATCCACTGTATTCACCAGACCTTGCACCAACTGACTACCACTTCTTCCAGGCTTTGGACCACTTCTTGGGAGGGAAAATATTCATTCAATTCTCAACAAGCTGTGGGAAACACCTTTCCTGATTTCATTGCCACTTGCTCTGCAGGCTTCTACGCTGCTGGTATAAACAAGCTACTGTTAACATGGCAAAACTGTGTTGATAGTTTAGGCACATACTTTGATTACTTGTACTACTTCTTGTTTGAAATATAATAAACTACACTTTTGATTCGAAATCAGACATTTCATATTTAATGACCTATATTTTGTTATAGCAGCGCAAAGGGACTAAGACACAGAGTCAAAGTTAGTGACAGGATCCCTTTGACTCTCAGAGTCTCTGCATTTGAGTGCTATGTGTGGCTCTTCCACAGAATGCCCTATGAGGGCCAGGGTTTTTGTTCATTTTGCCCACTGCTACAGTCCCAGCACCTAGAATTGTCCCTGATGCACAGTAGGGACTTAATAAGTATTTGTTGAATGAATAAGTACATAAGTGAATGAAATAAAACAAAAAGAAAGCATCAAAAAGCCATATTCTCTTTTCTGGCTCTAGAAGTGGTTGGTGAAGTGATGCCTGGAGATTCTGCAGCCATTTAGAGACCATGAGGAAATAAGACAGAAGGGGAAAAGCCAACACACTAGGGATGGCAAAGTGGACAGATGAACAGAATCTGGATTCCAAGTACCACATTCCCCTGGATGGACAGATGACTAAAGTCATGCCGATAGGCCTCCTGTGAGGGGGAGAAATGGCTTCTGAGGAAGAAAGGGCATCTATCCTTTTAATACTCTATAGGTGTCTACTACGGGGACCGCGTAGCGTAGAGCAGCCTTGCCACCACTTCAATGAAGCATGTCTGAAAATGAAGTCATGTAGAGGAGATAAGAAAAAGCACAAAACCTGATGACATCATTTAACTCCTGGCTAGAGCCATGCCTGAAACATCTGTCCTTCCCCTTCTAGTCATGTTAATCTAATAAAATCTCCCTCCCCCATTTAAATTTGACCATTTGGGATCCTTTGTAAATAAAAGAATCTTAAGTAAAACAATGGCTTTAAAAATTCTCCTTGATAGAAAACAGAAATACTATTTCCCTAGGAGAAACCTTTTTCCTTGCAATTTTTTTTTGTCAGCAATAAGAGGATTCTTGCAAGGATTCACAGAAACCACTAGATAAGTGAACAGAGTTAACACATTGGAGCACAAACCTAGGAGACTGGCAAGAATGGTACTAAGCTGAACCTGCATCTCAGGACTATCAGGGAAATTAACTCAAGCTACTTTGTTGTTCACCTAGCATGCACTCTGCCTCACTTAGGCTCCCCTAGAAGGCGTAAGTGCAGGCTGTTATTCTGGGAAGCAATCTTAGGGAAAGGAATGAGGAGACTGTAACAAGTTCACCAGGAGAAAAGACAAAGCCAGTCCAAGAGTGCACTATAGAGCCGGCTACTGCTGTGGGCACCTGGAACTCAACCCTGTTAGAGACTCTTTGAGGATCCATGCATTGCAGAATTGTCCATCTGTGTGGAGGAAAGAAATACTTATCCACTGGCCCCCGGCCCCCACTGCTCCGGGACTGGCCCAGAAGGGTTGACTTCCTCCTGGTTTCTGGTTTGCATGTGCCCCAGGGGTCCCATGGGGTGATGCAAGAGAAGCCCAAGACAGAAAGTAAAAGCTCTAGGGTGTAGCTGAGATACTGTCAGGCTACAAGCACACACAGCTGACTGGCTGCGGTAACGGGCAAAGCAAAAAGGCAAGCGGAGAGGACTTAAGATGAACGCAAAATATGTCCGACACATACTCTGTAGACACATACGCGAGGTGCTCACCCACTCAGCAGAGCACAAGTCAGCTGCGGTTGCAGGCCTCCCTTCCGTCTACTCAGAGATAAGCTCAGTTCCGGCCCAGATTCTGGGTATAACCAGCCTGTGCTGGGAAACCTACTCGAATTCCCTCTAAAGAGGAATCAGGAGTCATTGTTCTGAAAAATCTAGAGATTTGTCACATGGGGGACCCTGGACAACAGTGGCAGAGTGACAATGGAGGTTTCTGGAGAGGATGCAGGAGGCTCTCAAATGTGGCCATTTCTTATTCTGACCTCTGTAAAAGCTGAAATCATCCCAGTAAAATAAATCCAGACAACCAGTGTTTCTTGGAAGTGGGAGTAGAAAGGAGTGGTACATAGCCAATGGGATTAAAAAATAATTAAAAATGAGTATGATGACAATAACCAAACTAACCTGACTTTGAGTCCTGGCTCTGATACTTTTTAGCTAAGTGATTATAGGAACATCTTCAATCTTTTTCAGGCTCAGTTTCCTCATTTCAGACACAGCTTGCTAGGATTTTTGAGTCAGAAATAATGTGTGTAAATTACCCACATAGCGTCTGGCACATTGAAGGTACTCAGTAAAAGACAGGCAGGAAGAATGAATGACAGGCAGACAGAAAAAGAAAAAAAATCCTAAACCAAATGACACAGTTTGGAGAATGGAAATGCTGATTTCACTGACATTCTCTTAGGAGAGGACAAAAGGAAGAGTGAGCTTCTCTAAGCAGGAGAGTCAGCACCTGGAAGGGTCCTCAGCACTCAACTTCATGGTCAGATCAGAAAGCTTATTTAGGCTCTGAACCAAAGCACCCTGGAGATGGGGTGGGCAGCCCTTCGTCTGTATACTTAGGGTAGAAAAGCCAGCCTAGGCCAGCTCTGCTCCAGTTCAGCAGCCTCAGTTCAAGGTTCCAGCCCCAAATCTTCCCCCCACGACTATCCCTAGGTCACTCTGCTTTGGAGACATCAGTAAAGGCGGCTCCTTCCCAGGCAGAAGAAGGAGCTTCCCGGAGATTAGAGGCCACTTCAACTCGCACAGAGAAGCTGCTCCTGGCTCCACCATGGAATCCTGTTCACCTGGCTCTTAGCAGAGGCCTGTCCCAGGTTCCTGGTGTGCTGTGAGCCCACCTGTCCTAAGTGTGGGGAGAACAAGAGGAACGAAGAGAATCAGTACCATTCTCCTTGTAGTTTGGAAGTTATCACGTTTTAAAAAATGTTTTCAGCAAACTCTCTTACATTTGCTGTTCCCTTGACTTGTTTCCCTGGCAACAAAGAGGTATGAAGGCGCCATCAAAAAGAAGGTACAGGTTGTTTGTTTTCTCTTTGCGTGCTCAGCGGGGCGGAGGGCGGTGGCTAAGAACAGTCACGACTCCTCCATTCTGTAAATCACTCACAACAGAGGCATCTGGCTTCTCCCAGTTTCGTTTAATAGGGAACAGGGATGGCCCGAGTTGAACCACAGCTTAAAGAGTCTCTGGCTGCCACAGAGAAAGGCAAGAAGCAGTTCTTGTTGAGGGGCAAAGCCATGTTGGGCATCTTCCTGGCAAATGGTGCATCCATAGTCTCCTGGAGCCCTGGAACGCCCCAGGTTGGCAATGGTTGCCAGGCCCTGTGTCCACGAGGCAGCAGCCAGCTCACCTGTGCTGGTCACTTGGCTCCTGGGTCTGACAGGGAGGGGGGTCTTCTGCCACCTGGGCCTCACCCTCGAGCACCTGCCGGACCCTCTGCATCCCTGGGGAAGGGGCAGTGAGGGGCCAGTCAGCACTGATGGCTGGTGGGTAGGGCCAAAGGAGGGAGGGCAGAGTGAAGGACGCAGCTGGGGACTGGGCTGAAAGGAGGCTGCTCACCCAGGCGAAGCCGGTGGGCCTTGTCTGAGAAGACGAAGCGGAACCAGCCGGGCTCCTTGCACTCGAAGGCCTTGCCAAAGGACAGCAGCACCTTGTTGTCCAAAAAGCGACGCCAGAGCAGCATTTCCTCCTCAAAGGTGGCCTCAGGCAGGTACTGGGAGGGTGGAAGGGGTCCGGGATATAGATGAGACCCCCTCCCGCCCTTCCCATGCTGGGGGGAGGCCTGAAACTCCCTCCCAACTGTCACCTCCACCTGCATTACCTTTCTCAAGTCAACCCAGATGAAGAAGCCGGCCCCACCACTCAGGAAGGGGATCCCCAGGGCCCTGAGCTCTTCCGAGACGTAGGTGTGGGCAGCCTTGAGCCGGGCGTGGTTTTCCGGCAGGTACACCTGGTTGATCCAATCTGTTTGGGCAAAAGGGAAGCCAAAAGATAAATCTCCCATCAGCCCTCTACTCGGACCCACCAGTCTAAATGCTGAAAAGAAAAAGGCCACAGGCTGCCAGGACCGTGTGAGTCCCTCCTCTAGCTGCTTGATGGGCAGGGAGGGGGCGTTACATAGGGTGGTAGGAAGGCGCTGGGAATCCATGTTTGGTGTAAAGCACCTTAAATCCAGATACATGGCCCTGATGGCTCCAGATCCCACTCCCTGTTCAGGAGCAAAGTCCCTCGAGATACAGAATTGAACCAAAGGTTTATCCAGTTCTAAAGTGATGCTTAGAGTCACACGGATTTAGGCTCAGATCCCAGCGTGGCCACTGACAAGGGGTGGGACCTCAGGCAATTTCACCTCTTTGATCCTTATTTTTTTTTATCGACTTTTGGTGGTTGCTGTACAGTTCTATGAAATTTAACACATATATAGATCTGCGTCACCACCACCCTAGTTAGGATTCTGAACAGTTCCATCATCCCAAAGGACACCCTCATGCTGTTTATAGGCATGTCGGCCCCTTCCTGGAAACCACTGATCTATTACCCCCATCACTACAGTTTGCCTTTTCCAGAATATCGTAGAAGTGGAATTATACAGTATGTAATCTTTTGAGACTAGCTTCTTTCACTCAGCAGAACTACTCTGAGATTAATCCCTGCTGCCGTGGACTTCACCAGAGTAGTACTCCACCGTGTGGACGTGCCGCAGTTTGCGTACCCACTCCCCTGCGCAAGGATGTTGGGGTTGTTTCCAGTTATGGGTGATTATGAATAAAGCAGTATAAACAATCATGTAGAGGTTTTTGTGTGACCAAGGTGGGGGGGATTGCTGGGTCATTTGGTAAGGGTGTCTTTAACTTTGTAAGAAACAGCGGGATTGTTTTCCAAAGTGGCTGAACCATCCTCCATTCCCACCAACACCGGACGAGAGTTCCAGCTGCTCCTCGTCCTTGTCAACACCTGATGTTGTCACTATTTTTTTTAAAACGTTTAGCTATTATAGTGGGTGTATAGTATCTGGTCTTCATTTTCCTCAACTGTAAAATAACGTGGAAAATACAAGAATTCTTGCTCCTAGGATTCCGGAGAGGCACGAATGAGATGATACAGCAAAAGCAGTTGCAGGGCTCAGTAAACAGTGGCAACTACAGGTAACCTTTGCTATCTACACGCGCCGTCTGAACCTAAGAACAGAACAGATTTGCACAGGGGGAGAGAGAGACACTCCTGTTACGACAATTGTTTCTTAGTCGCTTCTGCTCTGTTTTTTAAGCACTCACAGCTAATAATAATGAGTTCGCATTGATCAAGTGCCTCTTATATGCCAGGCATTGTTCTAATTGAATTACAAATCAACTAACCTTACTATACAGGTACCACCATGATCCCTGTTTTACAGAGGAAGAAACTGAGGCTCACAGAAGTGAAGTAATGTGCCACACAGCCAGGAAATGACCAAGCAGGGTATGGACCCAGTCTGGGCCCAGAGCTGGCGCTCTCAAACTCCACCCTAAATTCTTCTCATGGGAGAAGCATCCATGACCCCTGGCCAGTCCCAGACTGACTCCAAACCTCCCCCCATTTTCAGGTCACCAGGCCCAGGCAGTCACCACGGTCCCGGAGCAGCTGTGTCATCTGATACTGGACCAAGCCGCTGAGGCCATGATAGCGGCAGAGGGAAGCCACAGCAGTGGCCACATCCGGGTTTTCTGTGTACAGCGTGCCAAAGCGGAGCCCAGACATCCCGAAGTCCTGCAGAAAGAAGCACCCTAGGCAGCAGCCAGCCCTCCCTGGAGGCAGCTGGTTCCATCCACCTCTCTGCCCTCCCACCTCCCTGACCCCGAGGCCAGCTGGGAGCTCACCTTGCTGGTCGCCCACATCACATGGGTCCTCTGGGGGTCAGGCAGCCTGCAGAGAACACAGCGTGGGAACAGAGGCAGTGCAGAAGCACAGGAGCTCACACGTTTGGTTGAACAAGTGAGGAGATGGACGGATGAATCAGGTTCTGGTTCTGGGTCAAGCCCTGGTTTCATCTCTTTGAACCACCAATGCCCGTTCATCCTTTAGAGCAGGATTCAGCAAATAACAGTCCCCAGGCCAAACTAGCCTGCCGCCTAGTTTTGTAAATAAAATTTTATTGGGACACAGCTACCTTCACTCATTGACATAGTTTCTACAGCAGGGTTGAGTGAGAGACCACATGGCCTATAGAACTTAAAATATTTACCATCTGGCCCTTTACAGGAAGAATTTGCCAACCTCTGATCAATTCCTCAAAGGGACCTTCCCTAACCACCCCCAGGGACCAGGCCAATCGGGTACCCCAAGCAAATCCTCTCACAGCTCCCCAGACTTGTCCGTTTTAGCATTGATCACAGCCATAATCCAACAGCTAGCTGTGTATTTAGCAGCTAAAATGTTTTTTTCTGGCTACAAATTAAAGTTCTGTATGGGAAGGGCCTGTCTTTCTTGTTCAGTGTTGTAACGCTGGCACCCAGCACAGTACCTGGCACGGGAGAGATGCTCAGTACACACTGTTTCCGTGACTAACCAAGGGTCGTGGACAAGTCTCTATTTTCTCTGTGTCCCACTTTCCTAATCCATAAAATGAATGACAGTGACAATCCATGCTCCGTCTACCTTGCAGAGCTTTGTGAGAACTAGGATGAGAGGACCAATGACAAGGACACTGGGGGGCTGAAGGTTCCGAACACAGCAGGAGCTGTTTGAGTTCCTGAAGATCAGATTTGCAGACCTGATAGATGATCTGGTCCAAGAGATTCCAGAGGTGTTTTGGCCACAAATTCTTCCTTGCACTAAATCTAATTTTTTTAAAGCCCCATATTTAAATATCCAGAAGGGTTTGGCCCATGCAAGTGGCTCCAGAAGTATTTGCTGAAAAAATGAGTGAGTGAGTGAATAAATGAATAAAACTAGAGTTACTCCGGGAACAAAGGAATCAGCAAAGGAGGCCAGTGTCCCGCCCACGTGGCCCTCCATTAAGGAATCTTAAGGCCTCTCCTTGGAGTTCTCAGAAACCACAGAATAATTTGAAAACCACTGATCTAGCCCAACCCTTCCACTGTCTCATCAGGAGATCTGAGGACCGGCGGGGTAAGCTGGATGCAAGAGGCCTTGCCCTGGGCAAGCCCTGCCCTGTGGGCTGAGCCAGAAAGAGGCCAGAGCACCACGGGAGAATGGGGGGCTGGAGGAGTTAGCGTGTTGGGGGAGCCTCACCTTTCCAGGCTTAGGACACTGCGGTACACAACGGACTCCTCAAACACGGACAGCATGTAGACCTCGTCCACAACCACGTGCAGCTTGTGCCTGCAGTGAGGCAGGTGGTGGGAGGAGAGAGCTTGGTCTGCAGAGCAAATGTGGTCCCCAGGGTGGGGGTGGGGAGTGACAGAGCCCCAGAAACCCAGAGGGACCTGGGGCTAGCCCAGGGTTACCAAACTTGTTTTCTCCAGGAAAATCCTTCTTTTGTCTATTTTTTCAAACAAACAGGAGGCCACACATACAAAGCAGATGACAGTGGCACTCCTGAAGCGCTGTAGGGCAGAGGGGGACCCCCCAGGTACCTCCATGGAGGGGCACAGTTAAGTGCAAGGGCTCGAGTCAAAAAGACCTGGATTCAAGTGTGGCTCCACACCCCACGTGATTACTCTGAGGCCGGGTGAACTGGGCAGAATAACAGATACATAAAGTGCTTAGCGTGGGGCCTGGCCCCTCGAGTGTGCAATGAACGACAGCTGTTGTCAGAGAGAGAGAGAGAGAGAGAAAGATGGCATCCCACAAATCCCTGCTTCCCCACCCCACTGCAGGAAGGGGCCAAAGAAGCCCACGGTGGGGTGAAGAGGGCACAAGGGCCCACCCAGACACCCTGTGAGGGGGAGTGCGGGGTACCTCACCTCTTGGCAAATACCAGGTACTCCTGCAGCTCTCCCGGGGAGTAGACATCACCCAGAGGGTTCTGGGGGTTGATCAGGATGAGGCCTTTCACCTTTACACCCTGAAACCATCCATGGAGCAAGAGACCCTCAGCTCTTCCCCAAGGCCACAGCTGACCGTCAAAGGGGCTAATCCCTGGGCGGCTCTCAGGGGAATGTGAGGGGAACATGTTCATGCCTCAACTGGAAGCAAATAAGCAGGACACGGAATTCCACCTGCATCATTGTGCCAACAATGAAAAGAAAACAAACGCAGAGAACATGGCCCAGAGGGAAATGTGCCCAAATGCCAGGAGGTCACCTTTGTTGGTGGAATTATGGGTGGGCCTTTTGCACTTTCAAAATTCCTACAGTGGGCATGGACAGCTTTAATGACCCAGGTAAAGAACATGAAGTAGACAGATTTGTGAAGAGTGGACTGGAAGGAACCACTGGAGTCCCGGTCTCTGCCTGTTTTCAGGAGGCCTCGGATGCCCTCAGACTGGGCAGGGCCACCCCTCAAATCCCTGCGGAGACTTGTTAAACCGCAGACTCCTGCACTCCACACTTAAGACCCGCTGAATCGAAATCAGATGGGGTGGGGAGGGGATATTTTTGGTGAAGGTCTGTACACTGGGGTTTGAGAATCTTTTTCTAAAGGGGAAGTCCTGCCTGCCTTCCAGAGAGATTCCGTGCCACCACCCTACCCGCCTGTCCCCCCCACGGCTGCCAACCCCACTTCCACGTGGAGATCAGCCACAGGAAGAGGGGTCCATGCCCTGCTCAGACCCACCCACCCCCAACCTTGAGTTGGATTTGATCCCCAGACCTTAGAATTAGCTTCCTGCAAGGCCATCTCCAGCTTCTCCACTGTGAGCTGAAAGGGACGTGTGTCTGTCCCCGTGACCTGGAAAAAGACCCACCAAAGCCACCAACCAAATTCAGGGACACCCTCCCCCAAACCTGAACTCTCAGGCCTCTCCTCCCCTATAATTTCCAGCCTCCTTGGAACAGTCACTAGAAAAACAAGGGGTGGGTGTCAGTCCCTCTTACTGCCATCCACCCCACCCCATCACATCAGGGACACCCTCATCACTCTTAGGTTGCTGGGGGAGGCCCCAGGGGCCTGCTGATTGAGGTCTTCTCTGCCCTGCTCCCAGCCACTGCTTCTGGGGCTGGCTCTTGGCTTCTCCATCTACCCTAGGGTCTCAGAGCCTCTGCCAAGCATGACAGCCATGTGGCAACAGAAGGCTCTATTCCCTGTTCCCCACAACCCCAGAGCCCCCACCATAGACTTCCTTCCACGTCCACCTTCGAATTCAGACTCAGGAAACTCTCAGCCTACAGGCAGGCCCAGGTCCCACCTGGGTTGCCAAGAGCTCTTACCTCGCTGTCCAGATAGACATAGGCCAGCCGGACGTTGCCATAGAGATAGACGTGCTGTGTGATGGCTCCGTAGTAAGGAGTAGGGATCAGGAAAGCCTCTGGGGGCCACAGGGGACCAGGGCCTGTCACCCTCTGGCCGGAACACACCAGGCCCCCTGTCCATTGGCCCCACCGCCTCTCTAAGCCTTCAATGTCCTTAGGGAACATCTGGGGCATGCTTGTACTCTCAACTACCAAAATTCTTTTTAAAGCTATAATCCACTGAGATCAGTTCCTTTTCTAATAATTAACAGCTACCATTTACTAAGCACCTACTATGTGCTAGAAACTGTGCTGAACATTTATTTGCATTTTATCTCATTTGCTCCTCACAATCACTCTCCCAAGTAGGTATTTTTCTCATCCTAACTTTGTAGACAGGAAACCGAAGCTTAGAGCATCCCTGTTGTTGATTGTTCTAGAATGGGAAATAAATTGCCTATTATATCCTCACAATGAATCTTCCCTTTATGGTTCCAGTCCTTGTTACCACCTCTCTTTGTGTCGCTTTGGCAAGTTGCTTAACTTTCTGTGCCTTAGTCTCCTTATCTGCAAAATGGGGATGACCATAGGACCTACTTTGTAGGGTGCTGTGAGAATTAAATGGCACACATGTGTAAAGCCTTCAGCCAGTACCTTGCCAATAAATGTTACTGATATTATCATTATTAGTTAAGCCATCATGAATAGGCCTCTGTTCCTCACCATTGATAACCCCTGGCCGTGACCAGTTCTTAATATAACATCGGCTCTTGTACCGGCCCTGCTGGCCGCCTGCTCAACAGCTGTTCCGATTTCCTTCCTTGCTGAGAGAGCACCAGTTTTTTCAGATATGACCCACAACATGACCGGCAGCCTGGAGGGATGAGCCACGTTTGGTTTAAGACAAACCTGTTCTCTTAGTTCCCTTCCCTTCCCTTAGTTCCCTTCCCCAGGGACTGCTTTTGGAATGTGTTTACAGGTCGGTTCTGGTCAGTGATATACCAGGGGCCTCTGCTGGGACTCCTCTGGGGAAGAGCATCCCCACCCCCTCTCCTGATAAACAAGAGACAGGCACAGTCTCGTCCCTTTCTCCCTGCACTAAGACACACTGTCACATGAGGATGCCACAAACACCTTGCAAACATGAAGCAAAGACAACGAGAAAGCCCAGGACCCTGACATCACACTAATCTGCCCTGGAACTGCCAACCCCTGGTGTCTTGTTACACCTGCAGTCTAGTATATTCCATCATGGCCCAAAGCATACTGCTGCGGCCCTGGAGGCTGGCACCTGGGGACGCCATGGGCATGACACTGCTCCCAGTGCAGAGCGGGGCACAGAGCTCACTTACCCCCCACCTCACACAGCACGGTGGCCAGAGCAGAGAAGAGGGAGGCACAGCCATTCAGAACCACCACCTGAGGGTGACACATCCAGGGGACAGAGATGAATCATTCCATGAAGCAGACAGAACAGCACAGAGGGCAAGCCAGGGCCCTCCTCATGCCCTCCAGGGCTCTGTCACAACAAAGCCCAGCGTGCCCTGAAGGCCCCTCCTGACCAACAGCCACGCTCATCCATGTGGACCCTGCTCCAGATCATCTGAGCAAGGCAGAGGGTGCTGGTCACCCAGAGGGTCTTGCCTGAAGGTGTGGCAGCAGTGGGGCCACAGGACAAAGTGGTGCAGAAATGATACACGAAACTCTAAACATCTAGGATTGGGGGCAAGAAGGGAGGAGGTGTTCCTAATTCTACCTGGAAACAAACCAAAACCAAGTAAAAGGCAGATCTCAATCCTACCTTGCCCTTGACCAGCCAAAAGTTGGGAGGGGAGGTGGGAGAGCAGGAGGGAACAGAGGAGGGGGCTACTCACATTCTCTGGTTTGAGGGGTGCCGGGCTCTTGCAGTAGAAAGACAGGAACTTGGCCACTTCCTCTCGGAGGCTGGAGATAAGACAGGCGGGCAGTGCTTTTCAGAGGTTCCTCAACCCACGATGCAGCCCAGAGCTCCTCTGGCGACTCTGCAGGCAGCTGCCATCACTGTTCCCCAGTTTCCCACTAGAGAGGTGAGGTCGCACCTGTCTCCACTCCTTGGCACCCGCCTCCCCCCACCCCACATGCATTGCAGTAGTCCTAGGACACCAAACCCCACCTAGTTGGGAGACCTCAGGGATACCAAAAGTAACACTCTATATGTAGACCTAACTAATCATCATAATAAACATTATTATTATCATAGCTATTATTGCTAATATTTTTTGAGCATTTACCTTACACAAATGTTATTTAGAAAATTTTACTCATTTAATCTTCATAATAATAGTATGATGAGACTACCACTATTATTATCATTATTATTCCCATTGTATAGACAAAGAAACTGAGGACTAAAGGAAGGAAGTCACCTGCTGGCAAGAGGCAGAGTCCACACGGAAGCCCAGTGGTCTGACGCCAGGGCCTACCCTCCTAATTACTATGCTAAAAGAATACAGTACTTTGCAAGCAGTCTTGGGATCAAGTCTTGCTTGGCCACTAACCTCTGAAAATAGTGTCCCCTAGTAAGTGCTCAATGAGCACAAACCATTCATGGCATTATTAATATTTACCACTTGCCATCTTACCATTAGAAAAAGGCCCCAGCAAGCTCCCCCAACCCCAATGCTGGCTCCTCTGAGCTACTGAGACAGCAGGAACGAAGACGCCTCACCCCAAGGCCCTCTCCATGCCTAACGCCCAGGATCACAGAAACCAAGCTAGGGAGCACCTGTGTTGGGGTGGGACCAGCCGGAGGCACCAGTTCCCTGCAGATGCTCCAGGAGACCCCACGATCGCCAGGTCTTCAGGACTAGACCCTAGGCCCATGGCAGGCTTGCTCAACCTGCCGCTATTGACATTTGGGGCCAGATAATTCTTTGTTGTGGGGGCTACACTGTGCACTGTAGGAGCTTTAGTGACATCCCGGCCTCTACCCACTAAATGCCAGTAGCCCCCTCTTCCAGTTATGACACCCCGAAATGTCTCCAGATGCTGCCACACATCCCCGGGGGCCGAACTCGCCCTGTGTTGAGAACCACCGGCCTAGGGCAACTACTTACAACAGGTGTCCCCTCCAGTCAGGGTACTGCAGCAGGGACGGCTCCACCCACTGCATGTCGCGCTGACCCAGCTGGAGACAGAGAGGGAAGAGCAGGGCTGAGAGCGGCACTGCCACCTGCATTCACAGCGCCCAGGCCTGTAAAGCCAAGCTTGTTCTGCTCACCAGAGACACCGACAGGCACAGCGGGGGACAGCTTTCTCAGGCCCGTTTTGGCAGATGAGGAAAACAAGCTTCCAAAAAAGTGAGGTCACTCAGCCTCACTCTGTGAGGTCACAGAGCTAGCAAATGGCAGGTCTGAGACAAACACCCAGAATTTCCGACTCCTAGTCGGGTGTTTTGTACAACACTGCCGCTGAAAAACTGGGGGGTGGCTCTGCAGAGGCAGCAATGAGAACATACTGCTCAGCGTCTCCACGGGGTGGCAGAAGAGGCCCCGGCAGTCACCTCAGGTCACCTCAGTCCCGCCTCCAACTTCTGGAGGGACTCAGGCCACTGTCTTCCTGCAGGCTGAGCTCAACCTCACACTTTGGAAAATGTGGCAGTTTCTAGACCACCCACTCCGTGACCAGGTGCTGGGTTACTAACTCCTTGGGCATCACAGGCACAATGTCAAAAGACAGCCAAGGCAGGGGACTTTGGGCAGTGGGGACAGAAGCAAGAAAAGGAATCAGCCACTTCTGTGTAACTGGGTCCAGCCTTTCCCTCTCTCTCCCTCCCGCAGAGCTGCCCTGTCCAATATGGCAGCCACTGACCACGTGTGGCGACTGAGCACTGGAAACGTGGCCATTGTGAATTGAGAAACACTAGCTTTTGAAACTTGGTATGAAAAAAGTATGAAAAATATACCATTAATAATTTCGTTTATTGATTACATGGTGAAATGGTCATATTTTGAATATATTGGGCTAAACAAAATACATATTAAAATTAACTTTACCAGTTTTTTTTTACCTTTTTAATAGAATATTTATAATTATATATGTGACTCACCTTTTATTTAGTTTTGGCACTGAGCTGCCAGAGGAGGAGGAGTGGGCTTTAGGTTGAACAGGTCTTTCAAATCTACTCCCTGCAGCCCTGTCCCTTGGGGCTTGGATATTTCACCTTTGGAAATATCTTCCTTTGGGTTAAGCCTTGCTGTCTCTACAAACCCAAATTCTGCCACTACAGCCTTGGGAGATTGTACTTATTAGGTGTTGCCAGTGGTTTGTTTGCTAGAGACGGTTCACACCTGCTCAAGAAATCCGATCGTGAAATTTTCAGGAATTTAGCAAGCTGTGTTAAAATCAGCCATTTTTAAAAACTAAATTAATATAAACTTAAAATCAAGTAAATTATCTTAAAAACAAAGGTAATAAGCATTCTTAACACCATTGCTTCCTGATTTGTCACCACATATCACTGTCTACGCTCTTGCGGTCATTTCCATGTGTCTGTTCGGTGGGAAAATGACACAAAGTGCACCAGCGCCTTTATTCCAACTCCGCATGCAGTGATGTCCCTTTGGTAGCTTGACATTGGCCATGGTGTCAATTGACACTATGGAAATTGGCAAAGCTACAAATTAGGGCTTTTGTTGTTGTTGTTCCCCAGAAGAGCCAGTTGCTAAATACTGACCACATAGCACTGTTTCCTCACAGAGCTCAGGGACCTGATATGGCAGGAGGCACCTAGTAAGGTTCAGAGTCTGAAGAGGACCACAGTGGGGGAAGTGACTCACTCAAGGTCACACAGAAAGTTGTCCCCGAGGCAGGCCTGGAACCTGGGTCTCCTGACTCCCAGGCCAGGGCCACTAAGGCAAGCAGGAGGCTCTTGTGGGACAAGCATTCCAGGGAAGACAGCCCCTCAAAGCTGGGGATGCTACCCAGAGTACCCCAGGACTTACCCTCCAGGACAGCAGATCAAAACAGAGTTTGTTCTCGCTGGTGCCCAAGTTAATGATGCCCTGGAGAAGAGAGGTACAGAGACAGGGTGAGCACAGCAGGGGAGTGCCAGTGAAAGGCCCAAGGGGCCTGGGCACCGTGGCTCACACCTGTATTACTAGCACTCTGGGAGGCCAAGATGGGAGGATCACTTGAGGTCAGGAGTTCGAGACCAACCTGAGCAAGAGTGAGACCCCATCTCTACTAAAAATAGAAAAACTTAGCCGGGTGTGGTGGTGCATGCCTATAACTCTAGCTACTTGGAAGGCTGAGGCAGGAGGATCACTTGAGCCCAGGAATTGGAGGTTGCAGTGAGCTATGATGATGCCACTGCACTCTAGCTCCGGCAACAGAGTGAGTCTCAAAAAAAAAAAAAAAATTAAAAAAAAGGCCCAAGGAGCCCACAGAGGCTGCAAAGCAAAGTGGGAGCTCCCTGCAATCCTGCCCTTCCAACCCCCTCCCTGCCTCTGCTCAAGCTGTGCCCCTCCACTCGGCTCGCACTTCTAAAGCTCTGTCCAAATGCCGTCTCCACCAGGAAGCCTCCCCAAAGCCCACCTGGAAGGATCTTTTCTTCTGGATCCTACAGGTCTTGATCTGTCCCCTCTAGAGCACTGGTCAGATTCTGCCCCAGGTCATGGCACTGATGTATATGCTGTGTCTCCCTACGAGGGTAAGCTCCCTGGAGGCCAGATGCATGCCAAAGACACCACTGTATCTCTCAAAGGGCTTAGCGGAACTCAACACATGTTTACAGGATGAAAGAACGTTCGCAGTAAATTGGCACTCTGGCAGGAACAGGAACAGGGTGGGTGTAGATAAAGAAGAGGCCTCTGCGTCGGTGTAAACACTCCCCAGGAGACCCGTGCAACATCACACACCACCCTAGATCCTCCGCCAGCAGGAGAGGGAGGCTGGAAGGCACGGCCCAAGCTCTCCCTTACGGAGTCCCCAGAGAGACTGGTGCAGGCCCCCCGCACAGCTACCTCCTGACCCCTGAGCTAATGCAGGGAAGTGAAGCAAGGAGGGAAGATGAAAAAGTAGAATTTGAATGAGCTCAGATTATGACAAGATAAAAGGCGGTGCTGCTTCCTCCTCTGGGAGGCAAACTGAGAGGCTCCTCCACCCACAGCCAATCCATCCGCACACCCTGGCAGCTCTGCCTTCAAAATGCATGCACGGTCCAACCACGTTCACCCTCCATTGCTGAGCCCCAGTACAGGCCACCGTAATTCTTATCCATGTCATTGCAATAGCCTCCCTACTTCTTCTCTCACATACTTCCCTATCTCTACACAGCAGTCCGAGTCTCCTTTCAAAAACCGAAATCGGATCAAATTCCTCCTGCTTTGACTGCCTACCATCCCACTTTGTCCGAAATCAGAAGGCTTACCCTGCTTTGTGGCATCCCATGGGACCTATTACCACTGCCACCCCATTATCTTTTTTTTGGGAAAATCCCATATTTGCTTTATTTTTTAATAGAATTTATTTCTTGGAGCAGTTTTAGGTTCACAGCAAAACTAAATAGAAAGGACAGAGTTCCCGTACACCATCTGCCCCCACATATACTTTCCTACATACTCTAGTCCCCACTGTCTTAGTCCGTTTTGTGCTGCTGTAACAGAGTACCATAGACTGAGTAATTGATAAATGATAGAAATGTATTTCTCTTAGTTCTGGAGGCTAGGAATCCAAGAACAAGGGACTGGCAACTGGTGAGGGCCTTCTCATTACCTTTCCAATCTCATTGTCTGCCCGCCTAGCTTTACTCCAGCCCCAGTGGCCCCTTTGCTGCACCTTGAACTCACCAAGCACAGGTCCACCCCAGGGCCTTTGCACTGCCTATTCCCTATATCTGGAATGCTCTTCCCCCAGATACCTGCATGGCTTGCTTCCTGGGGCAGGCAGCCTCTAAGATCCCTACCTCCTAATATGCAAACCCCTTGATCGTGGGCTGGATTAAGTGACTTGTTGCTAATGAAGAGAACACACACAGGTGATGTTCCTTCCGAGGTGAGGTTATAAAGAGTCTGTGGCTTCCATCATGATCTCTCATTCTCTCTTGGATCACTTGCCCTGGGGAAGCCAGCTGCCATGTCATGAGGCAGTCCCGTGGAGAAGCCCACGTTGGAGAGAGACTGAGGCCTGCCGATCACCACGTGAGTGAGTTTGGAAATAGAAAACTCAAGCTTTCGGATGAGACTGCAGCCCCAGCTTCACGGCAACTTCACAGAAGATCTGGAGCCTGAGGCACCCACCAGGATTCCTGAGCCCCAGAAACTGTGAAATGTTTGCCGTTTTAAGCTGCAGAGATTTGAGGTAATTTGTTTCACAGTAATAGATAACTAATATAATCCCTCATTTTTTCCAGGTCTCTGCTCAAATGTCACCCTATTAAAGTACCCTTCTATGACCTCCTATTAAATAGCACTACCCCCAGCCCACCATCATTCACTGTTCTCTTTACCCTGATTTAGTTTTCTCTGCAGTACGTATCACCATATACTATATATTTTTTTCTCTGTTTACTATCTGTCTCTTCATCTAGAATATAAACTCTGTGAGGATAGGAACTTTGTTTTTTTCACTGCTCTAACTTCAGCATCTAGAACAGTGCCTGGCACCTGGTAAACACTCACCAAGTAAAGATTATTAAAGGGTTATTTGTGACAGCTCTCTGACTTCTGAAGGTATTACTAGGAATAACTTTTAATAATTGGGATGTATTATATTAATAATAATAGCAGGTACCATTTATGGAGTGTACTAGGTAGCAAGCACTATGCTAGTAACTTCATACACCTGCTCTCATTTAATATTTACTGTTCTACAGGGCAGGTATTATTATCCCATTTTAGAGATAAACTGAGATTCAAAGAGGCTAAGCAACTAGCTCAACGATACAAAACCTATACGTGAAACAGTTGGGACCTGAACCCTAGTTCTGCCCCAGCTCCCAAGTTGGATAGTTGACAGGTTGTGGGACAGAATCTATAGAATAGCATTCTATGGGCTGGTCGAGGTGGCTCATACACCTGCAATCCTACTACTTTGGGAGGCCGAGGATGGAGGATTGTTTGAGCCCAGGAGTTCAAGACCAGCCTGAGCAACGCAACGAGACTCCATCTCTACAAAAAATTTTAAAAATTAGCCAGGCGTGGTGGTACACAGCTGTGTCCCAGCTACTCAGGAGGCTGAGGCAGGAGGATTGCTTAAGCCCAGGAGTTTGAGTTTGCAGTGTGCTATGATGACACCACTACACTCCAGCCTGGGCAGCAGAGTGAAACCCTGTCTCAAAAAAAAAAAAAAAAAGCATTCTATGTTCTCGAATTCCACCCTCACAAATCAGGGTCCCCTTATTATAATGGGCCATTTTCTGATCCAGGCAATAAATGGGGGACTCTCTGAGCTACATCAGAAGCCCTCTTGGAGGTCAGAGGACCGTAACTCCAACTTGGCAAGAGCAAGCTGGAGGGAAGGTAGGGTACCCCACCCTGCAATCTCCTCTTGGGTCCCAGTGGGAGGAGAGCTTCACTCACACTGGGGTTCTTGTCCTCATCATACTCATCCATGTGGTAGGTCCTGTAGCCCTCCTCAGCTGAGTCCCAGAACCATTTAATCATTCTTCCTCTAGAGGACAGACAGGAGCTGTCAGATGAGAACATGACAGGATCACCCAGTCCACAGAGTTCTGGCAGCTTCTGGTCTGGTTTTCTGGAGCATTCTCCTTCCAGACAATCCCCATAGCTACTGCCCAGGTCCTGTGTGGAGGCTGGGCCTGCAGAGGTGGTAGGTGCCCCAGATTCTTCCTGAGGAAGTGTGAACATCTGCAAAAAGACAGAAGCACTCAGTGCACAGTCCTTCTCAAGGCCCTCCCTAGCACCAAGCATCAAAAATGGAGTCCTGCGGGTCCCCTTTCTCTTATCTGTCCCTTCCTTTAAGTTCATGCAACCATCACTTCCTGTGTCCCTTCCTAGTGGTAACCCTGTGTGCAATCACTTCAATAAGTGAAATCTGATGAGGACCTAGTATGTGCCAGGGGCTGTACTTGCTACATTGATTTGACTTCCATATTGCTGCTTTAGCTTGTTACACTTCTGCCAAAGCTTTCCATTCTACAGCCTAGGAGGTCACCAACGTTCTTTTTTCCACCCTTGCTGACCTCAATTACAAAAAGCCAGGTTAAAATGTCGTAAGTTAAAACAGATCACTGCTAAGGAAGGAGTCCTGGGGGGTCTTGTGGCATAGAGGGTAGGATGAGATTGTTCAGTGGTCTAGAACGGATGGCGGGTGAGAACTGGGCGGAGGGAGGAGTGAGGGTTTCCACAAGTGCAGGTAACCCGGGGCGCATCTTCACTCTGGACCTAGGGAGGAGTGGGCGCCACGAGAGAGGTCTCAACCTGCCAACGTCAGCTCCTTCACCTCTCTAAGCCGTGTATACCCTCATCCGTACAGTGGGTATAACTGTAACCGCCTCACAGGGTACCAGCGAGGATGTAAACATAGCAGATAATGAAAATAAAGTACTTAGAACAAATCCTGGCTCATGGCTAATGTTCAATATGAGTCATGTCATAACTCCTCACCAATTTTCCCAGTCCCGACACACAAGCTCCGACACACCGAATGATGGGTGGTGATCAGTGGACAGTCCAGAAACCCGGGGGGGGGGGGCGATTAAATTTTGCTCCCTGAAGTCTTCTCAGGGGTCCTCCCTCGAATAGCTGGGCTCTCCCAACAGCCCAGGTGTGAGGAAGGGCAGCACAGCGGACGGAGCCCAGGATGGGCCAAAGCCTGGGACCCGGGGGCGGTAGGGTTCCAGGCTCCGCGTGTCCAGCGGGGCGGTGGCAAGTCCGCAGCCAGACACCCGAGCCCCGACCAGGCCTCGGAATCCCGCAGCCGGCGGCTGTCGCGCATTACAAACCGAAAGGGCCCTCTGCGGGGCGGAGGACGCCTCTCGAGAGAGGGCTCCAGGGTTCCAGGCGGAGGAAGCATGACCAGCGCCAAGGGCTTCGACGCGGAAGCGCAGAAGCTTTTGCAAAGTGCACAGAGGGAACCCGGACGGCTTCTCTTTCTGCAAAGTGGGGGGGGTCACACCTACTTGGCGGAGCTGGGGGATGCAGACGCTGGCGCTCGGCAAACGCGCGGTATGTGTCCGTTTCCTGTGCCCGGAAACGCCCTCTGGCGCTTTAGAAGCCAGTGAGGACAGCGGTGGCCCCGCGTCCCAGCTCGCCCGGGCTCAGGGACCTAGGGGCGTCCGGGCCGGGCTTCTGGGACTGCTCGGGACGCAGCTCGCCACCTCGCCACCCAAGCCGGAGGACGCCCCCGTGGGGCCTGCGCCTTACGGGGCGCACACGTGGCAGCACCGCGGGACAGGGAAGGGTGACCGGAGAGGGGACGGGGCCGAGGGGCGGAGACCGGCGCGAGGAAGGGGCGGAGCGCCCGCTGCCGCCTCGGCTCTTGGTGGCCTGAGAGCGCGGGCCGCCTGGGGCTGGGTCAACCCCAGCTGGCACGTGGGGGCGCCTCCCGGCCTTAGTGCCCCGGGTTTTCAGGGCGGTTGGAGCCATAGGCATTTCTTGGCAGATGGTGCTTGGCTGCGATTTACGGAAAAGATTTGCCAAATTAGGGTGAGAGCATCCTTAGGTCTTGCACCACAGCTTGTGGTTTGTAGGGGATTTTCTTCAACCCTTGTAAGTTCTTTGCTGGAAGGGACTCCTACTACAAAGGACAAATTAATGAGAGAAAAACAAGTTTATTGTCACGTACATTTCACATATACCTGAGAGACACCGTGGTATGGGAGGGATTGAGTCCTTCTCAAAGAGTTGACTTTGAATTCTAGCTTATATAGCATCTTCAACAAAGAACAGTAAATTTTTAAAATGACAAGACAAAAGAATAGGACTTTGAGTCTCTACAGGTGGCAACTTGTGGGAAGGCAGATAAATGGGAGACAAAAGCCAGTTTGTTCCTGTCCCTTCCTCCGGTACCATCTCCAGGCCATAAGGGTCTAAAGTTGCCTTCAGTGGTTAACGTTTGTTCTCCCTGGTAGAGAGGGGGGCAGGATACCTTTGTGTTTGTAGATCTATGATCCTACTTTTAGGCAAATAGGGCCAGGGCAGAGAGCTTTCCTGAATCTGCT